CAGCCAGATAGACAGGAGTACTCAAGGGGACTGTCTGTGACTCCACGTTCAGGCTGATATACTGATTGAGGGATTCACATTTGATACCTGTTATTGAAATCTAAATACAGAACTCACAACCAGCATGGGGTTTGTGCCTTGGTTTGTAACTGTTTGCCCTGAGGTTGGTACTCACATTCGTGAGCTACTCTAGACAGCGTGATGGGAGGACTGAACTTTCCTGTCCCACATACCAGCTGAGAGCTCTAACCACAGAGAGGGTAAAAGTTATAAGGTGGGTGACATCACGAAAACGACCTCCCCCCCCCACACACATTTTGTGTGGAGCAAGGCAGGTGCCTACCTCAGTCCAGCAAGAAACTCCAGGTTCTGGGTTCCCATCTGTGGGTTCCTAAGCAGAGATAGATGTGCCTCTGCAGACCTGATTTAGGCACCTGTCTGTGAGGGGGGAAGGGCTCAGGACAGCCCTCCCCTTGTCAGCATCTCCCCTTGTCTAGCTCAGATGGCTCCCTGCCTAGTGAGCTGTTTTTTCTGAATCGCACTATAAGGTGCCTCTGATGCCCATGCATTGTCTAGGGACTTTACGCCCCTGACTCAGCCCTGAGGGTCACAGTGCTGCTGTTCCTGTTATTTTCTTGCTGTCTAAAAAATATTTACTGTGATGCTCAGCATTGCAACACTTGAGTCCCTGCATGGATTGCCCCCTGTGCAACCAGTCACCTCTCCGCAGAGCACAGCTGAGCAACTCCTGATTGACATGGCTGTGTACAGTTCAGAGAAAGAGCAAAGGCTGGATCGTGACACAGCACAGTAAAACCCAAACTCTCCTCCTGGGCACGGTATTCCCTGTGGGGCTGGGGTGACACAACCAGGTTGGGAAGCAAATCCCATGACACTGCCCACAACAACTGCAGCTGGAACATTAAAGTGGAAGAAACAAGAAGAATTATTTGTAATGTTTTATTTACAGTAAGTAGGTGGAAAGCAGGAAAGTAAAAGGAGCAGAGAAGGAGCTTTAATAACCACAGCATATGGGAAGGAGATTCCTCAGCTACTGAGAACAGTTTTCTTTATGGCACTACAATAGCACCAATGCCTTGGAATCAATCTCAGGAATTGATGAGTTATAGTCTCACTTTCAGTAACATGTAATGAATTTCTCCGTCCCACTCACGTTCCCTTTCCTTCCATACTGTCCTTATCTATTCATTATTGTTCTAGCCCTCACTTTCCATCCCTGTTTATTGTCCTGTGTCTCTCCTCCCTGTCACAGATCATCCCCCTTGGCTGCTCTCTTCTTTGCCGGATTTTATCCCTTCCCCTCTTGCTGATCCCGGGCTGGGAGACCCCAATGAGATCTAAGGACACAGATTTGTACAAGGTTTCAGAGTGGAAGCCGTGTTAGTCTGTATCAGCAAAAACAACAAGGAGTCCTTGTGGCACCTTACAGACTAACAAATTTTTTGGGCATAAGCTTTCGTGGGTTAAAACCACTTCATCAGATATGTGGAGTGGAAAATACAGTAGGAAGATATATCTATAACATTACATAAAAAGATGGGAATTGTCTTACCCAGTGGGAGGCTGAGACAAATCAATTAAAGTGGGCTATTATCAACAGGATGAAAAATCACTTTTGTAGTGGTAATCAGGGTGGCTCATTTCAAACAGTTAACAAGAAGGTGTGAGTCACAGTAGGGGCAATTTAGAATGGAGAAATTAGTTTTTTTTAGTTCTTGTAGTAAGCCATCCATTCCCAGTCTAATTGAGGCCTAATTTGATGGTGTCCAGTTTGCAAATTAATTCCAGTTCTG